AACTTATCCTTGAAGTCTTATACAAATTTGTGTCCTTATAAATTCTTTCATAAAGTATTCTGGGGGAAGGTGCAAGGGGCTTGCTTTCTACTATGATATTTTTTCACCTATCATTTGCATACTATATTTTTTCATATTAGTTTAATCAATTTTTGCTGAAATATATTTTCCCTTGTTTTTTATACTTTGTTTTCTGCTTCTCAAGTTACTGATACTTAACATGGAGAAATTTGTCTAAACGTATTTATGCTGATTACAATGTGGCTAAATCCCCTTTCCTCCACTTCCACTCTTTTCCCTCATTTTATGAGTGACACTGCAAAGGTCAGCAAATATGGTGTGTACTACAAATTGGCCCATCTCTTAGTTTTGTAAATAATTGTATTGAAACAGAGCCACACTTCTTCACGTACATAGTGTCACTGGCTGCTTTCACTGTGCCATAGCAGAGCTGGGTAGCTGTGACAGAGATCATGTGACTTGGGATGTTTAAATATTTACTGTCTGGTGCTTTACAGAAGAGGTTTGCTGACCCCTGAGGTACAGAGAAGGAAGCATCTATAGCCTGAGGGCATGGGGTAGGCTGAGTAAAGGATTGGAAGAGACTTTTCTCAGCTAGGCCTGTGTGCAACTTCTGTTGGCCAAAGTAGGCTCTGTTCTCTCTTGCACTTTTATTAAAGGTCTTCATCTGGGTTAACTTCATAATGTCTGGGATATCTCTTTACATCCAGGGATAAACTTGGGCTTCAGATCCTCCTCAATTTCTAGTTGGATTTGGGCCTCTGAACTTTTGCCATTTCTAAAGAGAAGCAGTAATACAAGAGGTTTCACCTTTTATTCAGGCATCAGTTGTTTCTACTTTAAAATTGCTGACAGGTATGTGATAGGTGGGGTTGATTCCCTTCTTGAGCACCTTTAGGACAAGGAGAACTTTTTCTGGGCTGTCCCTAAGGATACTGGGCTCAGCTTCAGTCTGCTCCTGCAACTGCCTCAAATGGGTTTTTTATGTCTGAAGGGATGGGTTTCCTATTTTTATAAAGCTTTCTGTGTCACCAACTCTCCTTTGGTAAGATTTTTCAGGTTTTTGTTTTCCTCAGTTTTCCCTCCGCAAGAGTATTAAGAAAGTCAGTAATAGGTGCTTTCTAGAGCCCACAGCATGCTCCTTGAAAGAGCCTTTGTATTTTTCATTGGCTAACAACCCCTGTGCGGTGTATTTTTTTGGATTTTTTTCTTTAACTTATTTATTGTGCATATATTAGATTATGAAATATGGTTTTCCTCTGCCATCTAAAACTGGAAGATTGTATATTGGCTTTAGAATGCCATCAGTGAAAAGCTGACCATTTGCAAAAAACTCTTTTGTATTTACTTTCCACTTAACAAGGTGAAGGATTTGCAAGTGGAATAGCTAGGCACAAGGAAGCATATTTCTTTTTCATTTCTTTGAATAAACTAATGTATATAGTGTATACAGTTTTTATGTTTTCATTGAAAATGACCAATCAATAAAATTACACAAGAAGAATCTGTTTTTTGTTTTTAATTTTTTTTTGTTAAATAACTTCATTCAATTGCAAAACTGCTCCAACAATAGTTTGTATACTTAATCTAGTAAGCTGTTTATTAGTTGGGTAACCTGTTAAAACGAGTAATTAGAGATGAGTTTATGTTGAATTAGTCTTTCAAAAAATAACTATTGCCTCATCCATTTTTTTTAATGAGAAGTTCAAATACCATCAAAAATATATTAAAGATATTAGTCAAGTGTTTACAGATCTCACACCACACAGTTGAAATTTCCTCAAAGATATTTTCACTTTTTACAAGTCCAACTACATTTATTAAGACCCTGCGTATGGACTGTGACTTGAAAATCTATTCCTTCTATTTTTTAAAAAACCTTTCAGAATCACAGCATTTTATTTTAAAGATTTGAGAGAGAGAGAGAGAGTGAGAGAGAGCATGAGCAGAAGCAGGGGCAGAGGGAGAAGTAGATTCCCCACTGAGCAGGGAGCCCCATACAGGACTCAATCCCAGTACCCCCAAATCACTAGATGACTGGAAGGCAGATGCTCAACCCACTGAGCCACCCAGGCACCCCTCTTCCTTCTATTTTTTAACATAATACATGAGTATACTCTTCAGCTTGTCTGAAGTCACTGAAGTAAGTAGCATTTCATGAAGAGTTCCTGATAATGGGGTAAAATATATGACCAGATACCTAGGACTAGATACTATTTAATAGATGAAAATTATGGCAGAAAATAATTAGGAAAAATAAGGCATTTATTATCTCACATAATTAAAAAAATCCATGGATAAGTCTTCATTGGCTTTCTCTTTAGACTTATTTGTCCTCAGGCTCCTCAAAATGGCTCAGAGCTGATACAGAATCATATCTTTAAAAGTGTGTGTGTGTGTGTGTCTTTGTATGTGGCTTTCCACTGAAAGTAAAAAGCCACACTGGCTTTCAGGACCCTCCCAGAATCTATACATCCAAGTTCCCTTTATTCTCTTCAAAATCATCTCACCAGCCTTGCTCTATTGTGCTCTCTCTCCTTTTTTTTTTTTTTTTTTTTTTTTTTTACATTTCAGCCACACTGGCCTCTTTTATCCTTCAAACATATGGAGTCTTTCCTACCCAGGTTTGCCTCTTGCCCCAGCACTGCACAAGGGTGGCTTCTCTCTCATCCTTCAGATGTCATCTCAGGTCAGGCAATGTTCATTCCCACCCCTCCCCATCCTAACAAACCTGCATCCTGCTCCTTCCCTACTCATTTCCTTCTAAGCATTCATCACAAACTGTCCTTATTTTTAATTTTAATTTTTTTTAACATATCGTGTCTTCCTAACTAGAATGTAAGCCCTATGAGGCAAGAACCTTACTTTTAAGTTCACAGATGTGTCTCTGGTGCTTAAATAACAATGAGCACTCAATAAATATTTATAGAATAAGCAAATTACTTCCAAAATCAAGCAACACAGAAACTTTCAAAGAAGAAAGGAAAAGTGTTTTTTAAACCATCCATAATTCCATTACCCAGATACGGTAACTATTACCCTTTGGTGAATGTTATTCAGTCCCTTTTCTCTGGCCATTAAAATTACATAGATAAAATTTTTAAATGCAAGTATACTTTGTACTATTTTTCTTTTTTAGATTTTTATTTTTACTTGAATTTAACAACAAAGTAGGGAATTAAAATGAGCAGGTTATTATTTATTCACAAGACATAGCTGCCCCTAAAGGATCCTTCTAAAATTAAGAAACAAGATTATGAAAAATAAGAGGCTTGAATTGTATTTTGTAACTAGATGTTCCAATTTGGGGCAGTTTCTATAACTTTTTAATTATTTCAATGTTATTTACATTTTATTCCATAACCATAATCCTGAATTTATATATTTTTAAGATTTTATTTATTTGAGAGAGAGCAGAGCGGGGAAGAGAGGGAGGAAATAGGCTCCCTGCTCAGCAGGGAGCTCTACACAGGAGTCGGTCCCAGGACTCTGGGATCATGACTTGAGCCAAAGGCAAATGCTTAACTGACTGAGACACCCAGGTGCTCTGATATCTTTGTTTTATAAAAATTTAAGTGGATTAAAATCGTGTTCAATTGCTTTGTTTTTGCCATTAACTTCTTATTACTGTTTTTAAAATTTGTTATTTTTTAAAATATTTTATTTATTTTACAAGTAGGCAGAGAGGCAGGCAGAGAGAGAGAGAGAGGAGGAAGCAGGCCACCCGCTGAGCAGAGAGCCTGATGCAGGACTCTCTTGATTGGATTTTTGTCAGAGGAGAATTTATAAGAAGGGCTCTTGGATATTTTCTTTTTTGAGGTTTTGCAGATTTAGGAGTATTAGACTATGCCCTTTTGCAACACCAATTCAGCTGTACATAACATTTTGGGTCATGCTTTTGTTCTTAGCCTCTTTTAGATATTGGCACCATCTTCCGGCATTAGATCTCAGGGAGAAGTCTAAGGTATTGTCATCATTCCCCTGTTTTCCTATTTTTGTGAATGTAATTTTTTTATCCTTGATGTTTAACAACTTTATAGGCATATATGTTGCTGTTAGTCAGGATCTTGTCAATTTTTCCTCCCATGGGCTACCACCTGGTATCTAGCCTCATTTCCAATACTTCTTGAAGGGTCATGTGCACCTTGCCAACTATTTGCCCTTCTGTGACCTCATAATGCTGCTTTATATCCCTCTGGCTTGGCACACCTTAGCGAAATTCCCTCATCCCTACCCTCACTCTAACATTGCTGCTACTTATTCTAGCAGACTTAGCTCAGGCCTCTGTGAAGACTTCCTGTACTCCTCAGGTGACCAACCACTTTCCCCTTACAACCACCATGAAGTGTAACATGTACCTCCAGTATTGCATTTGTTACACTGACTTACCATTAATGGTTTATGGCTGTCTTACATCCAGCACTGTGAATTCCAAGGGGACGGACGCCTAGCTTATATCCACAAGACTGTGTAAGCAATGTAAAACAGAGTTCTTGCTGATGAAAAGTTGGAAATGTTGGATGGATAGATAGCAACTGGACTAATTACTGAGCAGCTACTAAACCGAGAAAGTGTAAATCTGACACAATTCGAATACTATGATAAATTGAATGCTCTGCCTTTAACGGACATTAATCATAAGCCGGATGTCGGGGTAATCAGAAATGTCAAAGACAAGCCTACAGGTGGGAAAGCCGAACTTCCGTGATGCAGGTGACAACCGTCCAGTAGAGACCAGTGTCTGCTCTCCCGCACCTCCGCTTCTCATCTAAGAAGACAGGCATGAACGGCCAGCCCTTCCCGCATTTCGTGATACCTGTAGCTGAAGCTCGCCACCGCTACCCAGCAGCAAGTGAAAATTGAGCTTTTCATGGAGTCGTCTGCAGCTGGAACTCGGCGGGCGAGCGGCGGAGCGAGCGGCGGGGCGGAGCTAGTTTTGCGCAGGCCCCGTGTGGGCGGAAAGAGCCGTAAGACTGCGCCTGCGCTCTCAGCCGACCTGCTCCGCTTCCTCGGCGGGGATACCAGATCCGGGATCTGGACGGAATGGTGGTGCAATGTCAGGTAAGGGTGGGGCGGCCTCACAGGTGCATCTGACCCCTTTCCTTCCTCCCTCCACGGGTCCGGCCCTGCTCAGCCGGATCCTCACCGTTGCCACCTTAGTGGGACCGAGTCTTAACGCCCGGTGCCGCGCCCACTACCACTAGTGTTGCCCCTCCGGGCTGCGGAGGCTTTCACTTCTGCTGCCCGAACCAAGGTCGTGTCCTCTCCGCTAACCCCTGGTCTCCAGAGTGACGGCGTCAAAGGTTTCTAAAGGTACCCGCGACGTCGCCCCCTTGCTTCTATGATTATTCGCTTTGGCAAAGACAGTTTTCAAGTTCCTGCATTTAACTGAGAGTTCTTGTGAAAAAAGGTGTTTCGTATATGAATTTGCAAACCCTCGATTATTTGCAAACCTCTGATTATTTCGTAGAGAATAATTTGCACACTGGGACAGGTGGGTTATTTAATTGGCCAGATTTCTTAGATACCTGGCTGACGGTATAGGTTTGTCCTAGGAAATACCAGTTTAACCTGGGTATCAAACCCACCAGCCTTTGCAAACGTGAGGGTATGTTGCATAACTTAATCCTTGGCAGCTGGGTTCGATGTAATGTGGACCGAATCAAGGGTCATATGACAACCGTGAGAGACGTCTCATTTTTTTAGTTATTTATTTGTGTAATTTATCTCTTGACTGAGACATCAGTTCACTGCTTAAGTGTTTATAAAAGGTGCTGTAATTTATGTCAAATAAAGAACGACTTAACCTCATGGTTAACTAACTTGATAACTTGGTAATTAACTTGTAATTATACTAACTTTTTGGGGGGTGATTTAATTATCTTTAACTCATAAAATTTGTCTTTGGTTAAAATAATTGGAAAGAAAGCAAGCCCACCGAGACAGAAAAGGTCTATTACTGTTACCGTTAAAGGCATTTCTTCTCCTTTACAGGTTGAAGTGCTGTATTTTGCCAAAAGTGCTGAGATAACAGGAATTCGCTCAGAGACCATTTCTGTGCCACAAGAAATAAGAGCGTTGCAGCTGTGGAATGAGATAGAAGCCCGACATCCTGGGTAGTTAAACCTTTGTAGAATACATATGATTAATACTTTTTAACATTGAAAAATGTGTAAATAATTAGAGAAAAACGCTAATTTTTATCCATGCTTAATGTCTAAAAAGTCAGTAGGTGTATTTTTTTTGCAATTACTAATAAATTCTAGTATCTAAAAATGCACGATTTCTTAAAGCTAAAGATACTTTACTAAAAAAAAGTTTAGTGAACTGGAATACTGCCAAAGGGCCATGAATATATTTGCTTTTATAATTTATAAAATACTGAAAATGTGGGTTCTACATTTAATAACATTAAATAGAATTGTTACAAATTAAGTCAAAAACTTGTGTTTTATATTTTTTGTCTTTCCCCTTCTTTAGAGAACTCAAAGTAGAAATTTCTAAGATTAAAAGAAAAGTGAAAGCTCAGAAACCTTAGCTGCTGCTGAATCGAGTTTTCATATTTGATTTTCTTTATGGTTCTTGAAAATCTATAATTTACTGCTCTTATTCCTACCTTCAAGTCCTTTCTGCAACAAAGTATGATTATGGCTTATTTGAAGGAGTTCCAAGCTTGATCTCACGACCCCAAAATCAGGACCTGAGTAGAAATCAAGAGTTGGGTGCTTAACTGACTGAACCACCCAGGTGCCCCCCCCCCCCCCCTTTTTTTTTTTTTAAAGATTTTATTTATTTATTTGACAGAGAGAGAGAGATCACAGGTAGGCAGAGAGGCAGGCAGAGAGAGAGGAAGGGAAGCAGGCTCCCTGTTGATCAGATAGCCCGATGTGGGGCTCGATCCCAGGACTCCGGGATCATGACCTGAGCTGAAGGCAGAGGCTTTAATCCACTGAGCCCCCCAGGCGCCCCCCAGGTGCCCCTTTAAGCTGCTCTTAAAGTGCCCTGATAATCAATGAAATGAGGTGGAGCCTCTGTCATGCTTTATCTTTAGCCTTATACCTGTTGGGAGACACCTGGTCTTAAATGTTGTGTAGTCTTCTTATTTTTTTTTTTTTTTTTTTTTTTTGAAGCGGGGAGGTGGTCGTTTAAATCCCTGAGACTACACTCATTAAAGAGTTGTTAGCAAGTTGTTAGCAGTTTACTGTGTTCATTGTGGTGAATAAATATGTTCTTCAAGGGATATGTACTTTCTTGGCAGAATATGAATTGGTTTAATTAGTAACTTTGCAGGTGGTGCTTCATGAAGTAATATTTAATGTGGTATTTTTAGTTGCAGCTGAGGAGATTTGAGGTCTACTACAACATTGATACTTCTAATTATACTTTTTTCCCTTCAGATTGGCTGATGTCAGGAATCAGGTGATATTTGCTGTCCGTCAAGAATATGTCGAGCTTGGAGATCAACTCCTCCAGCTTCAATCAGGAGACGAAATTGCCATTATCCCCCCTATTAGTGGAGGGTAGTGCTCGTGAGCCACTTGGGTGTGTGAGACATGTTTTTCTTAACCAATTTTGTGGAAGAGGATTACATAGATGATAACTTGTATAAGATTTGCTTTAAGTATATACTCTTTGTAAATCTGTCTGCACCAGTAAAGAGTTGCCGCTGTAATAGTTGATGTAGACGGACTTATATGTATCTTTGTATCATCTCTACATCTGTTCTCTTGTAAGCAGTTTAATTTAATGTCAGTTTGACATGTTCATTCTCTCCACTTAAAATGGTTTATTGAAATTTTATTATGTGTCAGGCATAGTGCTGGATGCTGGAGTATTAATATTCCTATTGTGCGGGAAGGAAAACTGAAATTCAGAGAAGGTAAAAACTTGTCTATGATCACATAGCTAGTAAGTAGCAGAGCCAACATTTGAATTCAGATTATTGGATTCTCTGTACTTTTTCACAAATACGTTTATTAATACAGGGTAATGGCTCTCCTCGGTACAGAGAAATGTCAAAAAATTGCATAGTCAGGAAATAAAAAGATCACTGTGCCTAACAAGAAAGCTTACCATTTTCCAGGTGTAAAGAAACAGCTTTATCACGATAGCTGTGTTGCAGGTGGCCCTAGGACCCAATGCATCTTCCCAAACAACATAGTCTTTATCTAAGTAGGATGATGCATAAGAATATCTCTTAGCATAATCTGGAGAGACAGAATGAGGCTTAATTTATTGTCAACTGAAGAGCAAATAATGTAGAAATGAATGATTATCCCTAATTAAAAATTTTTCGTAAGTTAGGAATGAAGGAAAACTTTCTTACTGTGATATGGGCTTTTCTCCAAAGTCAAGAGTAAATACAAAAGGTAAAACCTTGGTTTCATTAAAGAAAGGAACATACTAAGGATGCCAGTTTATTTTTTTCACCTATTTTTTTCCTCCACTCTGCTGGAGGGCAGTGCCCCCAAAAGTGAAGAATATATATTGCAAAGCAAATTGCCCATCATACTAATAAAGACTGGATCTTTCTTAGTTCTACTATTTGGAAATAATAGAATTTTTTGTTAGATATGTGTCTCAGTTTCACTGGGAAACTGGTCACCATATCAACACCATGATTTTAGAAAAATGCCATTTTTTTTTTTGTTTGGAATTTATTCAGAAAATAGTGTGCCGCCATTAAAGGTGTTTCTGTGTGTGTGTGTGTGTGTGTGTGTGTGTGTGTGTGTGTGTGTGAGAGAGAGAGAGAGAGAGAGAGAGAGAGGATTAAAGGTGTTCTTTGGACAGATTAGGAAGATTACTTAAACAGCATTATGTATCGTTTGAAGGTGTTTGACTGGGTTTGTATCATGTGGTTTTAGAAGCCATGTCCTTATAGAATCAAGTTGTAGGAATTTGGTATGATTCCAAGTTCATAGAGCATAGACCATGTTTGGGTTACCTATAAGTTCTTCTAACAATCTCAGGTGGCATGTACGGAAGGTTGAAACATCTTAGAATCCAGTGGAATGTGATTATTTGTGCTTTTCTTTTCAGTAGCTGGAAGAATAGGGAAAAGAATGTTGGATTTAGTGAGATTCCCTGATTGAAATCACCATGAATGAGTCCTTAACTCCTCTGAGCCTTCTTTCCCAATGTAAATAAAATCCCTCAGGATTTATGATTATATCCAGACAATCCTCCTGCAAAGTCCGACTTGCATGCCCATTCTCAGCCCCTCTGTTCCCTCCTTTGAACCCTGGGTTCTGGCCTCCCCTTAGGTTCTGGAGAACACCCTGATCTGTCTTGTTCTAGAGGCTTTGCATTTGCCGTTCCTTCTGTCTCTGCCTGGGGGCCTGTTCCCTTGTTTCTTTCCAGGACTGCTTGCTTATGTTTCAGGTTTCACTTCTAAATCCTGCCTCTTGAGAAAGGCTTTCCCTGATGCTCTTACACAGCCGCACTTCCCCAGCACCCATGCTCTGTCTCAGAACCCTGTTTATTTTTGTGTTACCCCCATATATAATTTTTCTTTATTGCTTTGTTTCTCCATTCCTGTGTAGGTGCCCTGAGGGCAGGAGCTGGGTTTTTTGTTCCCTGGTCCTTGTCTAATGCATGAGGTTGGTCTCTTAGTGAGTATGTAATAGATGCTTGATGAATGAAATGAGAAATGCGTGGCAGAGGGCTTTGTATGACATCTGGTGATAGGCACGCAGTTCATTTCCTTATTTCCTCAGTTACTTAACTGGATTATTTCTGGTTATGAAATGAGCCCAGTTCCTGTGGAGTCAGCATTGCTTCTGTTCTTCTTGTCTTGTTTTTGGATGAAGAAAAAGGCAGCTTAGGTGTGGTGCACGGACATATAGCGGTTAGAGGTAACATGCTTGTGGATGGAGGTGTCGATGTCTGTACCTATACCTTGATGGAAGATAAGAGCAGCAATTCCAGAATTTGGAATAGAGTGGCATATGAGATAGATTACATTTTAAGTGATCATGTTAATGGTAAATTCCTTTTTATATCCTGCTTGATTGATTAGGGATATTTATAAACATGCTGAGTTTTGCTAAAATTTTACACCTGTTTATTTTATCATTCTATCACATCTAACATATGAAAAATATTAGTTGAAAAACTGTAGGTCAGGTGTTTTGCCTCTTGTACCAATGTTAAGGTTTATTAATATCTTCTAGGGAAGATCTGAATGAAGTTGAAGAGAACTCTAAAGATATAATAAAATTCACTGCTGAGAAGCTGTCCATAGATGAAGTCTCACAGTTGGTGATTTCTCCACTCTGTGGTGCAGTATCCCTCTTTGTAGGTGAGTTGTCATTTTCACAGTTTTTGTTAGGCTGCATGAGATGAGAAATTAGCAAGTGTTTCCCATGTTCAGGGTTAATAGAGGATTTTAAGGTACTGAGAGCAGTAAGCCAAGATTACCCATGGTGGTGGGTAGAAATTTTTTTGGTTCTTCTTTTATTTTAGTAATCTTCAGATTAACCTATGTTAAAGGCATTAAAGGAGTAGGACAAAAGTCATTATTAATAGGGAGAATTCTGTATTTTCCAAATATTGAGGGGGAAAAAATGGTGATGATACTAACTTAATGATAATCCTTGGAATATGTTTCCCGTCTTGGTTTGTCCTATAAGTGTTTTTAGTCATGCTTGCCTAATCAGTGTCATTTTATTTCTTTATCTTTGTGATAATTATTTTTTCTTTTCTTTTTTTTTTTTCAAAGATTTTATTTATTTATTTGACAGAGCGCACAAGCAAGGGGTGTGGCACAAGCAGAGTGGGTAGGGAGAAGCAGGCTCCCCACTGAGCAGAGAGCCCAATGTGGGACTCAGTCTCAGGACCCAAGGATCATGATCGGAGCTGAAGGCAGACTTAACATCCATACATCTCTATTTTTTGTTTTTCTAATCAAGTTTTGTTCTTAGAAAATTTGAAAGCATTTTTTAGACAAATTGGTATATGCTGCCTGTCTACTAAAAGATAATCCTCTTTTCTATTAATGTGTTATTTCTATTGTAAGGAAAAACCTTATTTTAATAGTATTCTTTTTTTTTTTTTCTTTTAGGGACTACAAGAAATAACTTTGAAGGGAAAAAAGTCATTAGCTTAGAATATGAAGCATATCTCCCAATGGCAGAAAATGAAATCCGAAAGATCTGTAGCGACATTAGGCAGAAATGGCCAGTCAAACACATAGCAGTGTTTCATAGACTTGGGTATGATTTCCTTTAGCAATTTAAAAGTTAATTGCAGTTGTTTTCCATCTTTGGAAGATTCCAGAATCAGAATTGGTACATAGGAATCCTGTATTACCATGAGAGGAAGGTTTGTGTATGATTCTGGCAGACAGAGTGGAGACACTCTGGGTGTTACATTGTAACATTTGGAGAGTGGCTGATGCTGTAACAAAGTCCAAATGTGCCAAAACTGGAAGGCCCAGCACAGATGGCCTGTGCTAATGTGTGCTAAAGTCCTTAAGGCCTTTTAAGAATTGTTTCATAGTTTGCACTCAGCTTGTATGACAAGTCTGTTAATAGATTTTTTTTTTATGTTAATGCCTTTGAAGGTCACTAAATTAGTTTGCCTTTTCTTACCACTAAGAAGAGAGGAGTTCCACGCTTTAAATAGAACCCAGCAATAGGGACTCCATTCTGTGATATTCCATTATTTTATTATTAACAATTATAATTTTATTAATAATTTTATCCATTCTATATTTATTTCTGTTTAATATTTTAAACTCTACATCATACTCATGCAGTAAGTTTGTGTCTCTAGGCATTACCTGGCACTGTACCTTATCCAAACCAGAAACAGTGAAAGGTCTTTTTCTCAGTGCCCTTCAGACAGGTTTAATGGATCGATGCTAACAAATTAGCCACAATCTCTGCATCCCCTCTGCTGAATGCAGTTGGGATCAATTACTGTTTTTTTAACTAATGTGGAAGTTTATGTAAAACAGAACTGGATGTTTAGTTGTAAGAATGCTTTACGGAATTTTTTTTTTCATCTGTTTAGTAGATTCTTTAACTAGATTCAGAAGAAATGGCGTTTTTTTTTTCTTTCATTTTGTCAAAGCTCAGTTCCAGTATCAGAAGCGAGCATCATCATCGCTGTGTCCTCAGCCCATAGGGCTGAGTCCCTCCAAGCTGTGAGCTATGCCATCGATACTTTAAAAGCCAAGGTGCCCATATGGAAGAAGGTAAGAAAATATCTATTTTTGCCATTTAGACATGATTTTTCTTACAGATTTTTAAAAAGCTAATGAGATGACATAAAGAGCTTCTATTCATGAGTCTTCCCTGACTCTTTAGAGTCATGCGTTTTTTAATCTGTGAATTAGGGTATTTATGTAGTGTTTCCTTCCGAAGGTTTGTTAAACATGAAAAGGACATGCCCCAAAGAATGCATGGCTCAGATTAGGCCTCAGTAGATGGTAACAGCTAGAATTCCTAGTTGGGACTGCTCCATTGGTTCATATATGAATTCATTTTCTTTGGATTAGAATTCCCTTGAATTTCTTTTGGAGAGTGGGAATAATGCATGGCTATTTAGGCAATAGCTAAAACAGATTTCTGAAGGCAAAAGAGCAAAGAACTCTAGAACTTCTTTTTAGGAAAAGGAAAGGGTGGGGTATTGCCTCTTTGGAGAAAATGCATAGTGAGTAGATTTTTAAAATAGATTTAGGAAATTCTAGCTCATTTTATGTCAACATATCAAACCAATCAAGAAGAGCAAACCTCTGGTCAAAAAAGACATTCTGAAGGGATGAAAAGACCCAACTCCCTAATTTCTTCCCTGGTGTAATAACAACAGTGGGATTATTCTGAATTCTCAAACTTGTAATTGCACTTAAGAGTCTAGAATTGCCTGCAGCATTTTGGCTGGTAGCAAAGCTGAGGAATGAATTAACTGCTCAGATCAGAAAGCCAGACCAGAGGACCAGAGGGTGAGTCTTTCCCAGGAGCCTACCACCTCAGCTAGTTGTGGAGATGAGCAAATGGGACTCTGACACAGGGCCTATGAAATTCAGTACCGTATTTTCTGAATAAAAACTGAAACCCGTTCTTATAAGGGGATTCTAGTGAAGCTCAGATAGATGGCGGCTTTGCTATGAACAAAGCTGCCACAATTTTGATGAACTACATGAGCTCATTTCCTGAATAGAGTGAGGTAGGAAGAGCATTCTACATTGAGTTGTGAGCCTGGGTGGCAGAGATAGTTTTCTTCACAAGGGAGGAGGAAGGGACAGCCCACTGATAGAAGGTAAATGAGAGGGTAGGCCTCCAGAACAAGAGAGTGGGCAGGAGTTGGGGCATCCTCTCCTTTTATACCTTGAGGACTAGCTGAGCTTTTTATTTGCTTTTCTGTCTGTGGAGGGTGAGAAGGGTATACAGGTGTTCAGAGGAAAGTCAGATTTGGATTTCTGTCCCTTAGGAATAGAATTTGGCAGGTGAGTGAGAATAGTGATACATTCTTGTTCCACTCCCTTCCAAGAAGTATCTAAATTCTTGTGGGGTTCTAGTCCCACCTGTGCTTTGATGTCATTGGTGATCTAGGCAACGGGTAGGCAGGTAGGTGGGGCACACACTCACAGTTGTCAATAAAGTGCAGCTCAATCTACTTAGAAACTTCGTGGGTGGTCACTTAATTTCACACCTAATGCAAATACCCCTTTTGCCTACAGAAAAACATTTAGAAATGTTGAAGTAGTAGATATGTTTGGAAAGAAAAAAAATGTTTAAAACCAAATATCTTTCATTTTCCCTGCATGACCTTGCTCAGGCGGTCTCCTGACGTGGCCCCAAATGGAATTGTTTATTCCATTTTGTGGTTGCACCTTATCTTGTTAGGTTTTCTTGTGTATTGTTGTGTAAGGACTTGTATAAGGACACCCACTGGATTGGGAGTCCTTAAATGTAGGGAACATGTTTATTCATTTTTCTACGCTTAGTGCCTTATGCAAATGTTTGTTGGATTGTTGGAAGAGTAGCGGATTTATAGATGTGATATTAATTTGCCTGAATTATTCAGATGTAGTTGAATTTATTAAGCCACTCTGTTTTGTATACCTGTTGTGGTTCTTTTTTTCAGGAAATGTATGAAGAATCATCATCATCCTGGAAAAAAAACAAAGAATGCTTTTGGGCAACTGGTGATTAAGTCACACATTTTTTTTAAATAAAATTAAATTTGGTAAACCTCTGTCTTTAAACATATTTTGATTTTTCTTCTCCAGAAGTTAAGACAGTTTAATGAAGTACAGTCTCTTATGTTACACCAGTAACATGTGACAAAAGGGAGACAAAAAATAAGTGGGTGTTCAGGATGAGGGCTTAGGGGGAACCAGAGATAGAGGAAAGGCTTTAGAGAAAAGGTGGGAGAGTCATTGAAAGGTGAGGAAAGATGCTTGTGTTGGACATACTCTTCCATGAAGTAGGAAGTTCAGATTGCTTATGTTTTAGTATTTTTCAATGAGAACTAAAATGAAAAGGATTTTGTTTTCTTTGGCAGTAATAGTAGATGGTCAGTGAGTGAAGTATTTTGTGATTTTGTGGATGGTTTTGTCCTTTGGATATGATATTAGAGTCACAATATATTTCAGTTTGTTTTGAGAAATAGTGGTCAAGAAGCCAGTACTTTGAGTCTTGATCTTCAATCCTTGAATGAACCTACTGGAGAATTTGAAAAAGGGTTCCTGAATGTCTGACTCCAGCTGTTCCTGTGTTTTCCACTGCTACAGCTGTCAACCATGCCAGCTCTCCATTTCTCTTGGACTGCTGCTGTGGCCTGCTGACAGTCCCCTGACAGTCCCCTGCTGCCATTCTGCCTCCCACTGAGTCAGTCCCTCAGAACCTCCTGAGAGCCAATCCCATTCTAGAACCTCACAGTCCTCACTGTGGCCTATAGTCTGTGATTGGGCACCTGCCTGCCCCTCACTCACTCCTCCCCCCGCCCCCACTTTTGCTGTGGCTTATTTTGTCGCAGGGCCCTTACTTGTTCCTTTTTCTAGAATGCTCTTCCTCCAGGTAGTCCCACAGTCTGCTTCCTCACTTTATTTCAATCCCTGGTTACATGTTACCTTCTCAGAGAGCCTTCTCTGACTATCCTATTTCAAACTAGAGTCCTGTTCCTTTACTCTCCCTTCTATCTTGTGGCCCTTAATGCTACCTGATGGACTATATCTCTTAGTTTTCTCCATCACTAGACCCTAGACTTGTTGAGGTCAGGGAGTCCTGTCAAATTCCTGACCCCTACCATGCACTGAGAAGTGCTGTTGGTGTTAAGTATTATGCCCCAGATTAAACACACTGGACATACATATAGTTGTAGCACTTAGAGTTGTGTGAGGGTGTCTGGCTGAATGCATGAGTGGGTTTCCCCTCCTCCCCCGCTCCCATACTGTGACACCCAGCATAGTCCCTTCATGCTCTGCACGGAGGTTGTGAGAGGTCTCTGAAGGTGGGAGTGGTCTGTGATGCAGTTAGTAGCTGATCCGCCAGAGGGCAGTAGAGCCAGTGCTGCAATAAGAGCAGCTTGAGTCCGATGTTTAGTCTGTTCCTTTTCTTTTGCATAGAACCGCAATTTCACCTTAGCCTTTTAAGTTAGGAGTGGTTCTTAGATGACAACTTTTAATAGGTACCTGAGTTTAAAATATCGAGGGATTATGATAGGATGAGGATGGAATTTTTTAAAATGCTGTTTATAGTTTTTAAAAAGTGACATAGAATAAGTAAAAGGAATTACTTTAAAAAAATGAGTAAATATACAATTTTCCAATTTGGGACAATTTGGTAGCCTTAATATTTAGATCTGTTCTGTGATAAAACTAATGTTCTTTTTCTTCATAGTTGTATTTTAATGTACGATGCATACCCATTCACTGGTGGTGGTTCCCTGGTAAGCGGCCCTGACAGCTTGGTTCACCAGAGCTGAGATGGGCAGAGTTAAGGAAGGCGTTTGACAGATCACCTGATCTGGGATGGGAGACATTTGTGCATCGATGTAGATGGAAGCACGTGCCACCCAAGCTTTGCATTAATGTGCCATCTGTGCAGTGAGGGCCAGTCGGTAAGCTTGCTCTGTATCTTTCTTAACACGTCATAACTTCAGCATATTTAATCCTTAAAATAATTAAACCCTCCTGCTTACTCAAACTTCAACAACAACAACAAACAAAAGAAACCTTCTCATGACTCCTTTGGCAAGTTGCAACAGTTTGCCCAACCTTTTTTTCCTCTCTATTCCAAGCACACATTTTATTTCAAGAGAGAAGTTGTATTTTAGAGCGGGGCCTCTCCAACTTTAGTGTATAACGTAATAGGAATCATCTGGGGATCTTGTTAAACTTCCCACTGGCATTTGGTAGTTCTGGATGGCACCAGAGATATGCATTTTGTAACAGGCTCTGGTGATGCAACGCTGCCTATCTGTGGACACACGTTTAGAGGCAAAGTTTTACACCTAGTCCCTAAACCATGAAGGTAGTTTAAAGGTTCTTACAGAACATCCTGTGGTCACTGCTAGTAACTTAAGAGATTAGATAACAACCTCACTCTTTGCTTACTTTGCTTCAGAACTGGTTCAAGACTCCAGGGGCGTGTGCAAGATACAGTGAAATATACAAGCCGCAAAATTAGAAGTCCAAAGTAAGATAACTTTATTTTTAGAACGATTTTAATTATAATTCAGTAATGTGGTATGAAGATTGGTTTACAGTTAAATAACATTTTGCTTGATTCTCATACTTAAGAGTTTTTCTCATACTAATGTTGATCTTTCAATTTGATTTCTCAGAAATGAATTATACAATCTGATGAACATGCATACATTTTTATATTTTTGATGGAGAGAAAAACGGCAAAACCAGTTAATAAAAAAACAATTAACTGTACTTATCACATCTTAAAGATTCATACCTTACAGGAAGGAAAATATCAGACAACTTCTCTAAAAAATACACAATTCTAACATAGCTGTGCAGTATATACATTTTTATTTTGACTTTATCTGCCAAAATCCAGTACAGATGAAACCATCTTTTTATATTTACATATGGCTATATTTTCATTATTTAAGGTTCAAAGATGGAGTTAACATTTTTATTTCAAACTTTACCCTCATGTTTATCTTTTACCTCTGGATGTTTAGTCTTTCAAATTGTTTAAAATGTGTATTGTTAATGTACATGAAGGGCATAATCCTGAAAAGTTATGAATGTGGATATTTTCTGTGTGCAAACTGAAATAGCAAAGATGGGTCAGGGTGCTCAGTTTGAGGGATCCCCTTTCTGTTTAACATCTTAATTGATGAGATTTTTAATATATTAACTTACAGCTGTATATCAGAATAGATAAATACATTATGAAATTACACTTTTTATAATAGCTTTTAGTATAATCACTTGTGTGATTATGATAAATTGGTTTTAGTTTTCTTTTCACAGTTAATAACTTCTGTTTTATAAGAAGAACTCTTGCCAGCTAGGAAATTTCTTTCCAGTTGAGAGTTCTCCTTTTGCTGCTAAAATGAATGATGCACAATTTCAAGTCTCAAGGCAGCTTCCTCACAAACTACTATTTTATAAATGGCTTGTGTGGGAGCTGTGCATGAAGCAACTGTTTTTAATCACATTCTATAGATTTTAGTCTATATACCATTTATGAAATGGAAACTTTAAGATGGTATCTTATAAGCCCCATATTATACTTTTAAAACAAAAGTAGGGCTGAATAGGAATACATAACTCTTTTTTTCATGCAATGGGCTTTTTCTTTAATTTCTTGGATAAATACTTGCCTTTGCTTAAAAGTGCTTGAGAAATACTCAGTAGAGCCACCACCTCAAATTTTGATCTGATAACAGAAGTTGTGTATTTAGGCCACTTGCTCTTAGTGTAGTGGGGTTCTCAGTGGGGGTGATTCTGCTTCCTAGAAGGTGTGATACAATGTCTGGAAGTATTTTTTGATTGTCACAACGTCTGGTGGATGCCAGGGATGCTGAAGGTCCTACAACACCCAGGACTGTCCCCAGCAAAAATGAATTACCCAGCCCCTTGCATCAGTAGTACCCAGGCTGAGAAACCTTGCCTTAAGGTAATAAATGGTACAGAGACAAGTGGCTAAGTTTTTAGTTTGGAGTAACCCGGCTACTTCATGGAGACAATGCTGACAAGGTAGATTACCTAAGCCATGGCTTGGCCAAAGCTCTCAAACTCGCCATGGGTATGTGACCTCAGTTTAGTGCTTCTGTGAGAAAAGTGGGGCAGAGTAAAATGAAAGGAATGACCTGCTAGAAGTCTTTGTGTAGCACCCTGAAGAACTAGCATGTATGTGTACAGTAGTTATATGGTTTATTAAATACTCTATCAAGTTACTGATGTTTTTCCTCTGCTCTTCTAAAGAAGTTTTGGACTCAAAGCCCACACGGCTGTTAATGAGAACTGGGCCTTAGCACATCTGGAGAATACCATGTTTTTGCTATAAACCCCTGACATTTTGTGGCTAATTTTGCCCCCGAGTTTTGCTTTGTCAAATACAAAAACAAATCACTGAACATAAATCACTGAAGATAGCTTTAGGTAGCTCACCGGAGTTGGGCCAGGAGGGAGGTCGGGGCCAGGTGCACCAAGGCGTATACCTGTTTTCAAAGTCTGGTTTTTGGAGGATTGTAATTACAAGAAATTGAGGTGATAGACTCTTAAAGCTAAAAGCATTGCTGTTGAATTACAACCTGGGCTTCCCATTTTCTAATGAGGACGCTGCAGTGTAAAGAGGCAGAGTGACTTATCTAAAGCTTTAGGTTTTTATTTCAGTTTCTGTAATAAAATAGTCTCTCTGCCTCTCTCCCAGTCCCTCCTGGAGAATATGTGGGCTCAGAAACGGAAAAGGAAGTGCAGAAGGAGAAATGGGTGGTATATCCCCAAGATAGTTTATTTACATCAGTGACTGGGATGCTTGTTAAAAAACAGACTAGTGGCATTCATCCCTGTCGAACCAAATAAATGTCTCAGGAGTTGGGACCTAACAAGCTAGCTAGGGAGCAAACTTGCCCAGGTGGCAGTCATTCTTCTGGAAGTTTAAGTCCTCCAGCAACACACAAACACAGAGGATGAAACCTGCTAATTAGGTGGTTGCCAATATCTCCTTGTAGTTTCTTGCAAATTCTTGAGTTTTTTTTTTTTTTTTTTTTTTTTTAAACTACCTTC